TCATGAGGACTTTAAAAAAGTCTGTTGAAAGGACTTTAAAAAAAGTCCTATACTGCACAAATTGGTTTTCATACTTGTATTCTTTTGTGGTCTGCAACCTAGTTACCAGTGAAAGTCTGATCATGTGTCAAAGCCCTTTACACCAATAAGAAGAGGATTTCTGTCAGGCAGAGGTTGCGTGTGATGCTTTAGATGTCCATGGCTTATTTCACTTAATGTTATATGATAAATGTTCCTGATTTGTCCAAAGTGACTTAAAAAAGGAAGTTTACAAAGCAAGTGATTCTTTGTAAACAGGCAGTACGATTAAAAGTGCAGCAATACAAAGTTCCATATAGGGCAGAAACGTTCAACAGACACTCCAACCCCCTGAAATGGTGAAAGGATGATCTTTTTTTATGTATTTTTTTTTTTTTGTAAAGAATGATGGAGGCTAACAAACGTGTTGACAAATATAGCACAGAAAATTTTGTTGATGGTATAGTAGATAATTGTTTCCCCCTATGATTGTAATGCTGTGATGTGGCCGTTGAAGACCCGGCTCTCATTTAGCTATGGCTTGACCTTCCTCTTGGTGGAGGGGTGAGAGGGGGAGGCTCATGGGTAACTGGGGCGTGAGACTGTTTCCCCTCTTAAGTGGAGCATTCACGCTGCCTCAATTACGGTTGCCATAGGACTGCCCTGAGAGTATGAAAGATGTTGGCTGGGGGAAATCATAGGGTTATGCAAAAATAGTGTCTTGTGTGACCCAGAAGGGGTGAATTATTACTTGGCCCATAATTTGGGTCTTTTGCTTCAGCCTAAATTACTAACAAACTCAAGAAGCCTTACTTAGTAATGTTTGAACTGTTTTTTATGGTTGACATTTGAACAACACAAGAATGAGACTTGAAATTGCTTTAGTTGTGTTAGGCGTGCTCTTGGCATTCACCCAAAATAGTATATGAAAATAGCTTTTAATATTTTTAACTTAATGATGGTTAATTAAAGGTTCTGCCTCCTCCTTTCCCTGAAGACAGCATTAATAATTTTGCTGCACCTCCTTTTAATCTCTTCTTTTGAGCACGTGTTCTAGACATGTAAATCAGTGGCTCCCACACTAAACACAAACTTGTGTACCCATCCTCCCTGTAATTTACTGTCTGCTATAGCCTCTATTAAAAATGTCCAAAAAAATAATTGCTGAGATATCGCATACTTCAGTGAGTACATAAGAAGATTGTAATAACAGTATTCACACACCATGATTGAATAAACAAATATAGTTCCCTATAACAATTATAGTTTTCCTATAGTTTACATATCTGTATTTATTTTCAATTTTTTTAAATCCTATTTTCCCATTTGCCACATGACAAAAATTTAAATATCATACATTATTGAAGACATTTAAAAGTATAATTTATAATAATGATAATTTAGGTTATTTCTGTTTTATGTTTTGCTTATTTATGTATTTTATAATAATAATAATAATAATAATAATACTTTTTTAAAAACCATTTTGCCATGACATTGGCCCCATTTGCCACATGACAAAAATTTAAATATCATACATTATTGAAGACATTTAAAAGTATAATTGATAATTTAGATAATTTAGGTTATTTCTGTTTTATGTTTTGCTTATTTATGTATTTTATAATAATAATAATAATACTTTTTTTAAAAACCATTTTGCCATGACATTGGCAAGACATTGACATGTCTTTGCAGTATTATTGGACAAAAGCCAAAATACCCAGAAGTATGATGTAGGCATGTGTAGGAAATCCCTGTTCACTCATGATCTTTAAATTAAACGGTATTAATTTAATATTCAAGGCCGCTGTCTGCTGTATGACACCATGCCATGTATGCTACTGATTTCTTGAACAAAATCAATCTAACTCAAGTGTTGATATCTACTGCTAAAATAGATGTTTTGTTCAAACCTTTGGGGGTCAGTAAGATAAAAAAAAAAAAAATCTCATTTATTTTTCGTCATTTTATTCTAGTAAATAGAAAAATCAAATAAGGAAATTAATTTCAAAATTTTGGATAGATATTTCAGCACTGTTCAAAATTCAACAGTACTGTACGGATGCATTGATTGACAACATAACATAAGACAGTTTACTTCTTTTTGTGTATATTTAACACCCTATACATGTGTAAAAAGCATGCTTGAACTGAAGCTCTGTCAAGTTATTTGTCAAAATAAATAATAGTGAAAGAGCACTTGCTGGGGGAAGTTATTTGTCTATAGTGATTATGCTGGATTAAATTTCTGGTCATGTGATCTATAAGTATCTAACATCAGCAGTGTAACCCTTACCAAAAAGTAGCATACTTCAAGTTTATTTTAGTAAGTATAATAAAAAGTAGACTAAAAGTATACTTTCCTATTTTTAGTTTAAAAGAAGTATACTAATAGCACACTTGAATAAACTTCTTTTTCGTAAGGGAAAGCTTGCTTGGGTGTGTTCAGATGCCCTTTTGTGTTGTGCTAAAAAGCCTAGGATAGGACAGCTTTAGTCTATTATATGCAATGGGCCAGCATGCCATCATTGTATTATAGAGGGGATGTTGTGATTGACCAGAGAATGGGCGACATCTACACAGTTGAGTTACAGTACAGCTAACAGCGACTGTAGAGATTAGTAAAGAACAGAGATGATGGGGTGCCTCAGCTTCCAGATGGCAAAACTTCCTGCAACCCAAACTACACCATAAACACATTCTCACACACACAAGCTAAAGTCAAGTGTGTGGTTGTTCATGTATTTTGGCTGCAGTATGTTTTGTGGATGTGAATCGAAACTGCTGAACCGAAAGCCAAATCCTCTGACACCTGATGAAACTTTTTTGTACTTCCCCTTCCATATTTATTATTGTTTTCTCAGGCCAAACTGCTGAATGTTGAAGAATAAGAGAAAAGTCCAATCCTGTGTAGTATACTATTTTTTTTATCATGACTGTGAACATGCTTACCAGTGGAAAGAGGGGAAATACATTGGCTGTGTTGTTATTTCTCTGAACTCCCCTTTGTAAATGAATTAAAATACAGAAAAAGAGTGCATTCAGCACAGAAAAGTCGAGAGTCTGGTTTATAGCTCCCTGGAGTACTTTGAAGAGATGACGCCAAGTAAGCTTGGCTCTGTGACTCTCTCGCTTCATATCCTGATATATTGCTTATTACTCCAGACTGGAGTGTGTGTGTGAGTGTGTGTGTATGAGAAGAAGAAACAGTCTAAGTGAGAAATGGAAGAGTCATGCTCTCATGGTTACATTTTGAATCCCCCTCACAGAAATCTTACATTTTATTCCCAGTGTCTTCATTAGATGTTCATAGAGGCTTTTAAAGAGAGTTCCAATATTTTAAGAGCAATTTCATATAAGATTACTTGGATGGATTGGTGTAAGTCAGTGGTTCTCAACTAGGTTTGCTTCAGGATCTTGATTTTGCATGATTGGAAATTAAGTGGCAACCCATCGCAGAATTGTTTATTGTAAGCAAAAATGTCTTTGGAATCAAACAATGAAATGTTTTTGAATCACAATAAAGACACATTTTATGATTGTAAATTATTTTTCTCCTCCATTTCAAAAGTTGATAAGCCTATTTATGACTAAGCCTTTTACCGCAAACCCCCACCACCTCTTTTTTTTTTTTGAAAACTGCTGGTATAAGTTATACTCATGAGATCTATTTCTCCAAAAAGAAAAGTCTTCTGATGATTGTATTACTATCCTCAGGGATTGTAGGATGCTTGGCAGAGAAGATATTTATGAATAATATCTTCTGGGAATCTGACCAGAAAGGCATTTTAAATCTCTGACATCATAAAGTATTTCAGAAAATGTGTAATGAGCTTCAAATGAATAAAATGAATAGAACATGTAGGTAATGTTGACAGTAATGTTACTTAATATGAAATGTTTTTGAATCACAATAAAGACACATTTTATGATTGTAAATTATTTTTCTCCTCCATTTCAAAAGTTGATAAGCCTATTTATGACTAAGCCTTTTACCGCAAACCCCCACCACCTCTTTTTTTTTTTTGAAAACTGCTGGTATAAGTTATACTCATGAGATCTATTTCTCCAAAAAGAAAAGTCTTCTGATGATTGTATTACTATCCTCAGGGATTGTAGGATGCTTGGCAGAGAAGATATTTATGAATAATATCTTCTGGGAATCTGACCAGAAAGGCATTTTAAATCTCTGACATCATAAAGTATTTCACAAAATGTGTAATGAGCTTCAAATGAATAAAATGAATAGAACATGTAGGTAATGTTGACTAATGTTACTTAATGCTTAATGAGCAGAGACCAACTGCCTATTTAATGACTCCCTCAAATAAGTCATGAGTCATATCGAACATATTTGCTTTGAGCTGTTATGCCTTTGCATGATTTTCTGACACGTGTCTTCCTTTTGACACAAAGAAACAAACACTGCAATGTTTTGCTCAGAATTGCAGTTGAATTACAAATGAATAAATTTGAGATTTCTCTGGACGAGGATATACCTACTGTTCAAAAATTTTGGGTCACTAAGATTGTTTTATTTTTTATTAATACTTTTATTCAGGAAGGATGCATTAATTTGATCAAAAGTGACAGTAAAGACTTTTACATTAATACAAAAATTCTATTTCAAATAAATGCTGTTCTTTAAACTTTCTAGTCATCAAAAAATCCTGAAAAAAGCATCACTGGAACTTAACTGGAAAATATAAATATCATTCGTTAATTAAACTGAAACTAATCAACCAGCCAGAATACCTAGAGTGAAAACTGAATCACAGCTGTGATTTATAGAACAGGTTTTTTTCCAGCGAGAGCTTACACATTATCACTTGCAGACTGTTTTTAACAATGTGCAGAGAGAAACTCTTTCATTATTGTTGTCATGTCTAAGACCTGTTCAGTGTCAGTTAGAAGTTGTCTCCATTGGTTTTCTTCTTCATGCCTCTTAGAGTTTTGATGAGATTTCCTCTCTTTTACAGAGCAGCAGTCATGGGGAAAGGATGTATTGCTGCCACCAAGTATTTCCTGTTCATGTTCAACCTCCTCTTCTTTGTAAGTGCACACACTCCTACACCTTTATTCTAAATCTCAGCAGGAACACTGCCCTTGAGCTCAGCGCATTAGCCATGTGGCTCCATGTCTTTAGCCCTGGTCTTCAGGTCTACTGTGAGCTAATGCAGGATGAAAGGGAGGTTACTATTGAGAACTGAAGTGAAAATGGAGCTTTTTGAGAAGAATAGAAGTCTATAAGAAAATGTATTTATGTAAAAAGAAGTTTCTGACCTCTGTGCTTGTAAAAAAAAATGCTGCTGTTTCAACTTCAGTTTAACACAAAATGTATGTAAAAAAAAATTGACTGCTCAGATTATGCTATAGTACAATGTGGTCATGCAGTTGGCATTATTATCAAACTACATTATTGGAACTAAAGAGAAACCAGTAAAATGCTGTTTTTGGGGTAAAATGTTTTTTTTTTTTTTTTTTACAATTGTTTATTTAGAAGTGTTTGTAATAATATAACTGTATTTATGCATATGTAACAAGTAGCTCAACAGTGAGTATGAGCTATCGAGGCTTTTAGAACCAAAGGTTAAATATTCACTTAATAATATGAGTTGAAACTCCATATACATATATTTTTTTTTAAGTTCAGTCATTTATTTATTTACATGAATCTAATTTTCCTATTTACCACATTTCCAATTTGGGCATGGTCTGTGTGGGCATGTAAATAAAAATAAAATGTATTAAAATGCATTATTGAATTTAGTATAGTATATTGAAGACATTTAGTATAGTACAGTATATTAACATATACTATACCCAGCAGTGTGATGTAGTTGTATGTAGGAAATCCCTGTTAGGAAATTGTTCAAGCTTAGTAAGGAAGCAGGCCTGCTTTCTGTTGCATTTCTTTGGAAACCTTCAGTTTGACCTGTTGTGTCTTTGATATTAAGGGTCAAAGGCTAATGAAAAGCATGTGTGTGCCTCTCTCTGATTTTTCCTTCTGAAGACCCTTTAATTGTACAGTAGCCTGGTGTTTTACTGCTTTCCTCTCCACAG